TTATTTCGTTAGCTAAAATAAATTTAAACTGAATTTTTTTTAATATTAAAAGAATATTTTGCATATTTAAGGACATAAAACATCATATATCTCAATATCTGGTATTTTAAAAGAATATTAAGAGAATATATTGCCTAACTTATGCGACATAAAAACGTCATATCTTAAGGATTTTAAGAGAATATAAATCCAACCTYTACCTATAATACAAAATTATATAAGACCCGGTTCAATGATTTTGTCAGATTGTTGGTAAGCAATTGGGTTTCCAATATATTACTGTTAACCACGYCTATAATTTTATTCATCCGGACACAGGGGCCACACACCCAAAACATTGAAAGGTTGTGGGGATCTGCTAATTGGAATAATAAAAACTAATAAAAATTGTCTGGAATCATATTTGTTAGAATTTATGTGGAGAATACATCTCGGGGAACTAGATGCATTTGAAACTATTTTAAAAGGTTAAATTATTTCAGAGTTCTATCCCCCTTTGTAATATATATAATTTTAACACATWTTATAAATTCAAGTTTATGAGTAGGTAAAATATATTTTTTTCATATTTTAATTGMTTATTTTAATTTTATTACATTTGTTTTATGTATGGAATGGCAATAACAAACAAGTACCCAATTAATACTTGTATTAAGGATTTTATACTTAAGTTGGAATTAATTTTGTTATTAAGTTGTTCATAATCAGGGAATACAGTGTGATCACAATTTAAGGTATCACCAGGCCCGTCGCTAGGGTACAAGCAAGCCATGCGTTGCTTTAGGGCGGCATCACATTTWAAAAAATTAAGGCGGCAAATTGTAATATTAAATTTCCAAARAAGACAGAAATTTAACTATTAATTTTATTCGCTTTAGGGCGGAAAATGTCTTACGACGGGCCTGGGTATCAGTAAATATGTCAGGTGGATCTTGTATTGCAATTGGGTTTTCAGGAGGTGTTAAGAAGTACTTAAATACATATGTTCAGATAAATTTAAAATTTTTAACACTATTGGTGTGCGCATGCGCAATAAAACTTACATTTTTTTTAAATGGAAACACTATTTTTTTTCTACATATTCGGATAGATCATTTTTTTAAAAACATTTTTTGTATTAAATGTTTTTTTCTATTTAAAAAACTGACCAAGTTAGAATTTAGTTAGCAAGTCAAAATTTGGATTTATGCATAAGACACGTTTAATGCAATTGTCATTTATAACCACTGGAAATAATAACATAAGTGCCAAATAAATGTTTAATTTACTTTATCTGTTTACAAGTAATAATTTATTAATACTACTAACAATGGAATTATGAATAAACTAAATCATAGATATTGGGATGACACAAACCCTTACTGGTCACATGAAAAAAATTTTCAAACGGTCTGAGGAATTAATGTGTGGTGTGGGTTAGTAGGTGGACAACTAATAGGACTGTTTTTTTATGACGGTATGCTCAATTGTAGACGATATCTTAATTTTTTGACCGATGAACTACTRAGACTATTGGATGATGTTCCACTAGATACAGGAGCACATTATGTATTTCAAGCAAGATGGAGCACCAKCCCACAATGCAATGATTGTTAGACTAAAATCAAATCAAATATTTCCGAACCGCTGGATTGGAACTTATGACGTCATTCCTTGGCCTGCACGATCCCCAGATTTAACAACATTGGATTTTTCTGATGGGGATATTTGAAGCCCGAGGTTTATGCAAATCCACCTGTTAATCTTCAGGACTTAAAAAATAAAATACAGATAGCATGTGATATTTTAAGTGAAGATCAAATCATTTCGGCAACTTCTTATGAATTTTTGAGACGACTGGAATCACGTTTAGAACATAATAACAAGAACTTTGAAAAATTCATACGATCAATTAATTAAATTCATTTTAAGTTAAACTAACCTAACTTGCATTTATTACTATTATCATTATAGGCATTTTGTTATACATTTAATTAATACAGCCGATGAAATATCTTATGCTAAAAATAATGTTTAATTATTTCACACTTATTTTGTTATTTGATTATTATTATCTTATTATATTATCGTTATTAGAGCTATAGTAAAATAAATGAAATTTCATTATGAAAATAGTTAAAATTGTAATCCTATTACAGCAGATTACTAAATAAAAATCATCACATACTTGAGATACTCATTGTAGTGACCAACAGTATTAATAAATTATTATTTTTAAACATAAAAAATAAATCAAAAGTTTATTTGGCACTTATGTTATTATTTCCAGTGGTTATAAATGAAAATTGCATTAAACATGTCTTATGCATAAATCAAAATGTTGACTTACTCTAACTTGGTCAGTTTTGTAAATAGAAAAAAACTTTTGATACAAAAAATGTTTAAAAAAAATAATCTATTAGAATATGAAGAAAAAACTAGTGTTTCCATTTATAAAAATGTAAGTTAATTTGCGCATGCATACACCAAAAGTGTTAAAARTTTTWAATTTATCTGAAAATATGTATTTAAGTACTCCATATTACCTCCCAAAAACCCAATTGCAATACAAGATCATCCACCTGACATATTTAGTATTACCTTTAATCGTAATCTCACTGTATTCTCTAATTATGTTTAACTTAATAACAAAATTAATTCCAATTTAAGTATAAAAAAGATTCTTCATAACTATAATGGTTATCGCAAGTAACATATAATAATAGTTTTTGTTGATATTTTTGATTTTATTCATATTATTACAACTTTAAATCATGTCACAACTGCATGTCTGTCTTATTAACACATATGTTTACCAAAATGTTCCAATTTTGTGTTGTTATATTATATTGAATTTACCTAATATTTTAAATCACTCATAACTTATTTAAATTTAAATATTGTAAAATACCAACAAGAGAAGTCAGATGATGTTTACCTTAAGGTTTGTTCTGTTCATTCTTATATTAACACCAAATTGGAACTATTAAACTCTAGTTTTCTATATTTTTCTTAGCGACACAAAGATTAAACATTTGATTTCTATAAAAAAGGTATCAATATTTTTATTTATATTATTTAATAGGAGCTCTGATGTAAAATATCAGATGATGAAATTCAATAGTAACTTAAACATTGACTTTGACAAATGGTCTCACGCTAAGATGGAGAGAGACACCAATAAAGTAGATGGAAAAATTGCAGAAGAAGATATGCCCAAGTACGTTTTTAGTGTTATATATATATACATATATAACATTGTGATATTAAAAACCATTTTTTAAAATTTATATTAGATTTGGGGCTGGAAGTGAATTTGGTCGTGAAGCTAGACAAGAAGCAAGGAAAAGAAGATATGGAGGCAACAAAAAAGTATCAGAATCTAGTCCTTGGACATTGAAAGTTGGGGGAAAAAAGTATGTCCATTTTTAGATTTTATTTATATAATAGAAATATAATTGGTTATTATAGATTTAGGGGTGTGCGCGAAGGAGGAATAACTGATAATTCTTCATATTACTTATTTACTCATGGAGAAGATGGTATAATTATTGCACATAAACTAGAAGAGTGGTATAACTTTCAACCAGTACAAAGATACAAAACATTAACTTCTGAAGAAGCAGAAGAAGAATTTGGAAGGTATTTAATTAGAAAATTATTAGTTGATACAGCAATAATACAAAATTATAAAAATCAAAAAAATGTTATAGACGCAATAAAGTTTTGAATCATTTTACTCTCATGGTACAAAAAAGACTTAAAAATGAAGAAGAAGAAGTTGATGAAGATGATAAAACTAAAGGGAAAAAAACAGTAAAAAGTCGTAAAAGCAAAGGTTTGATAAAACCAAAGTTACTACTTATTAATATTTAATACTGATACTGRTATTTTGTTTAATTTTATTAGAACTCAAAATATCAGAAATGGAAGAATGGGAAGAAAGTGAAGAAGACGAGTCTGAAGAAGAAGAACWGGACGAAGAAAAAATTGAAAAGAAAAAGAAACAAAAACGTAAGTCAGCATTTGTTCAGAAAAAATATATGTAATTCACCATGACTAAATAGTAAATAGACAGGCATGATCACATTTTTACTGATAAGCACATTCCTTTTCAGGCCCAGTTTATTACTCAGTTCTCAGCTTCTGATTAGCTATTCATATTATCAATATAAAATTCTATTTAAAAAAATAATTTAATTTAATATAATTTTTTTTTATTATTCTTTGAATAATTTTTACTTATGAGCATGACTTTACTACTGAAGTATTAGGTATACTGTTATGATCAAGGTTATTATTTATCTGTATAAATTATGGTGTAATATTCATGTATTATGAAATTTCAGCACCATAATTATTATGGATGATAAAATAATGAGTACTATCRTACTAAATAGGACGAGAACATGTTTAATGTGATTATACCTACCTATTTAGTTWTAAATTTACTTATGTTTTATCTGTGTAATAAATAATTTTAACATCAAAAATTTAGAATGTTCACAATATTTAATAGCTATTGTCCTAACATAATAAAAAGAAATACCTAACCTAAAAGATTATGTTAGTTATCATAAGTTACAATTTTATTTTAATACATTTTTGTCATATAACAACAGTTAGATTATGTTATGAGTTATAGTAACCAAATTAATAACACTGTAAATTATTAATTTATAGAAAAAAGCAAAGTCAAAGCTAAACCAAAAAAAAAGGCGAAAGGATCTGACGAATCAGCAACTGAAGAAAGTGATGATGGTGATGAAGAAGGCAGAGAGTTGGATTATATATCTGATTCTTCAGACGAGTAATTATCTTGTAGTATTTATACATAATAAGCTTATAACCAAATTACCATTATTTTTTCTATAGAGTGTCAGACGATGAAGCTAAAGTTACTAAAGAAATGCAGGGAGTTTCAGAAGAAAAGGCATTACATAGTCTATTGACATCTGATGAGGACGAAGATGAAGATGCAGAAAAGAAAGAAGAAAATAAAGATGAACAAAATAATACTGATTTGGAAGAAGAAGACAAGACTAAAAAAGAAGAAAATAAACCCAAGCAATCTTCACCAAATAAGAAAAAGAAGAAAAACACTGATAAAAAATCAAAAAAAGAAACAGGTAATTAGTTATAATTTTTTGAGATTAAATATTTTTAAGTTTTTTTGWAATTTAATACTAAAAGTATAAAGCTTTATTTTCATGTATATTTATTTTATTTTTTGTAGATTCAGACAGTGATAGTTCTGTAGATAGTTCAGATATAGACAGTGAGCCKATTAGAAAGAGACCATTTAGTTTAGTTGATGGAATGAAAAACAATGATCTAATTAGCTTCCCAAGTGATTCATYAAATCAAAGGTAATATTAGCCTATTTTATGAGATAACTTTACTGTTAACAAAAACTCAAATTTATATTTTAGCATGGAACCAGCCCAGAAAAAAGCTAAAGTCGAATTTTCACCAGTCACAATTTCTGATACGCATGGCATAACTGAGGAGGCTGTCCGTCGATATTTGTCACGAAAACCAATTACAACAACTCAACTCGTGACCAAGTTTAAAAGTCGTTCTAATTTAAGTTCTGAGCAATTGGTTAGGATTATAGCATTATTGTTAAAGAGAATCAATCCTGAAAAAAAAATGATAAAAAACAAAATGTACTTATCATTAAAACACTAAAAATCCTTATCAAAACCATATTTAATCATAGATTTATTTTGTACTTAAATTTTGCTCACGCAATGTCACAAGCACTAGTAGTAAAGAAACAAGCGCTGTTTTGATTATTTGATTTGACTTTCTATGTATGATCTTCTTATAGGTCAGTGACTGATGTTACTATATTAAATTGTGATTCATAGTCAATTCATAATATTTTTTGATTGTTAAATTTTTTTTATCATGATATTAAGTTACTTAAAAAAATTGTAAAGTAATTTGTTTATGCAAAATTAATTATATTTTTTTAAGAGGGGACCATATCCGTATTGACCATATTTGTTATTTTTGTCTTTTAACTATGTAGCATAGAAACATGTTTTATAGTAGTTCTTATTTTAGTCAAACTAATGTGAACTGTTGAACATAAACTTTTGTTACATAGTTGCAAAATAGAAAAATAATATGAATGTGGGGTCCTCTTAAGTAATACTAAAGACAGCAAATATTGATTATTATACTTGTATTATCTTGTTAAGGAATTATTTTTATCATTTTTAAAAACAAATTCTAAATGTATTCTTATTTTTAAATCAATTTTTCTTCCTTTTCTTGGCCTTTAGTTATATTAAAATATTATTTATTATTTAAAGGCCAAGTTATGATTAGAATTCAAATTAGTACATTTAATTTTTTTTAATTTTTTATAGGKTAAATAAATTATAACGATAAGTGTAATTCGTAAATATTTTAATAKATATAATAAAAGGTGATATTTATATTAATGAACAATCAATTATAATATACAATACAGGGTCAGATTAGACGAATTTATCCTACCAAGTTTTTTGTGCTTTATTTAATTATCTTAGCCCACCGAGTTTTACTCTATAAATCACTTGGCCAATCCAGCCCTGATATAATCACAATAATTAYTATTGATTATTAAATATCACCAAGCACGCTTATGTTTAATATCAGAAATGTATTAAACTATTTTATAAGAGTTATAAGTGTTATAACATATTGTATACTTTTAATTTCCAAAAGTCATAACTTGTTCTCAAAATACCAACTGTATTTAAATTTATTTATGGAAAGTGCTTTTGAGGATTTAATGTTTGCTGATAGTAGTCTAGTAGCTACAGTTAGGTCAATCCTCCTAATGAAATGTATTCAATAATTATGGCAAACATAATATTGATATCTTTGACTTTCCTTTTTTCAATATAATTAACTGCTTTATATTATCACTAACTCCTTGAGATTTTCAATAAAAATGCAATGAAATAAATAACCACATTAGGTATGATAATGAAAATGCAATTTTTGTATTTAGAGATTTTAATGTATATGGAATCATTTTTAATGTTGGTACTTAATTRTTGTCAAGTATTATTAAAATAATAACTATTATATATTATAATTCATGTTTAAAAGTACCTGTCATTGGTTTACTATATAGATAAGCCATCCTATTTTTAATATTAATTGCTGATAGCCGCTAGATTTGCTGTATCTGTCTATCTTGTCTGCATTAAGTACTTAAAAATAGACTGGCTTACCCATCAATATATAATAAAATTTACAGTACATTCCTGCATTAACATTTTTAATTAATTTTCAAAAACAACTATGTTCAGAAAGTTCAATCAAATCTTTGAGGTTAATGAAATCATTTAAAAATCATTTCTCTATATTTTTAAATTATTTGAATGATATGGCAATAAAGAATCCCATATTTCCATACACCTTTGTGACTATTTACAATATACTTGCCGTCAATACCATTTTAGAATTATATTAATATGCTGTACATAAACATCTTGCTTTATATGAACTTAATAGACTTAGGTTTTAATTATTTTAAAAAGGTTATAAAAGAACATATTTGTTAAAAATGGACTTGTGTTACTAAACTTCTGTGGTACCTATAACCACTGATATTATAATATAAAGATTAGCCATCGCATAGGAGTTATTGATGGTTAAAATTATACTGTCAGCCACTAGGTTTGCTGTATCTGTTTACATATAACTTTATGGGATCTACAGATCTGTATATTATAAAATCATTGTTAAAAAGTGCCTTCTATATTTTTTTCCAAAATAAAATTTTTGTAACATGTCCAAGTTAGATTCATTTGAGACTAAAAACAGATTTCTGTTTCCAATAATAAATTAATGGCTTTACCATAATATAATGTAAAAATKATGCTGTATTAACAATTTAAATGTTAACATACTGTACACATTTTATAAGTATTTATACCTACGAAATCATGTATTATAGTTTAGGTTAGGTACAAATATCACAATTCAATGACACTAGTTGTTACATATTTATAAGTATTTAACATGTAAATTAAAACATTTTTTTTTTTAATATAGACAATTTTTTCTTTTCTCGGTACAGTGTATATAATTATCAAAAATCTTCTATATTATAATTCCAGCCATGTAGGTACCACATTTCTTTATTACCTTATTATAATTATGTACCTTGTAATAATTATTAATATTGTGAAAAATTGAAAAAAATAAAATTCTAATAATATTTTATGAAGTAAATATGAAATATTGTACATAATGGTAATCTTACAATATTTAAATATTTATTTTTTAAGCTATATTCTCAATAATAAGATTAATATACTTAGGTAGGTACTCCAATAAAAACAAAATAACATTTTTCTTATGTAAGTAACCTCAAATATTTTTCAATTTCTTATATTATTTTATATTTTTATC